ATGGTGTGTGTTGGATGTTTTGTGTTGGATGGTGTGTGTTGGATGGTCTGTGTTGGATGTTTTGTGTTGGATGGTGTGTGTTGGATGTTTTGTGTTGGATGGTGTGTGTTGTCACTGAAGGCCTGCTCAGATCTCAGTACTTTGAACCTACTTTCAGTACTTTGAACCTACTTTCAGTACTTGGAACCTACGTTTGGTACTTTGAATCTACTTTCAGTACTTTGAACCTTCTTTCAGTACTTTGAACCTACGTTTGGTAATTTGAACCTACTTTCAATACTTAGAACCTTCTTTCAGTACTTTGAACCCACGTTTGGTACTTTGAACCTACTTTCAGTACTTTGAACCTACGTTCGGTACTTTGAACCTACATTTGGTACTTTGAACCTACGTTCGGTACTTTGAACCTACGTTTGGTATTTTGAACCTACGTTCGGTACTTTAAATCTATGTTCGGTACTTTGAACCTACGTTGGGTTCTTTTAACCTACTTTCGGTTCTTTGAACCTTCTTTCGGTACTTTGAACCTACGTTCGGTACTTTGAACCTACTTTCAGTACTTTGAACCTACTTTCAGTACTTTGAAACTTCTTTCAGTGCTTTGAACCTACGTTCGGTTCTTTGAACCTACGTTCGGTACTTTGAACCTACAATCGGTACTTTGAACTACGTTCGGTTCTTTGAACCTACTTTTGGTTCTTTGAACCCACGTTCGGTACTTTGAACCTACGTTCGGTTCTTTGAACCTACATTCGGTACTTTGAACCTACGTTCGGTTCTTTGAACCTACATTCGGTTCTTTGAACTACTTTCGGTACTTTGAACTTACGTTCGGTACTTTTAACCTACTTTCGGTACTTTGAACCTACTTTCGGTACTTTGAATCTACTTTCGGTACTTTGAACCTACGTTCAGTACTTTGAACCTACGTTCAGTACTTTAAACCTACGTTCGGTACTTTGAACCTATGTTTAGTACTTTGAACCTACGTTCGATACTTTGACCCTACGTTCGGTACTTTGAACTACGTTCGGTTCTTTGAACCTACTTTTGGTTCTTTGAACTCACGTTCGGTACTTTGAACCTACGTTCGGTACTTTGAACCTACGTTCGGTACTTTGAACCTACATTCGGTACTTTAAACCTACGTTAGGTACTTTGAACCTACGTTCGGTACTTTGAACCTACTTTCAGTACTTT